TGTGTGGTACTAATGAACCTGACTCCTCATTTTACTATATAAGACACTTCTTATAGGCATTATATTTTTATAAGACATATTACTATATAAAACACCTTGCACTACCAAGTTCTGTTGAATTCATTTGCCCTCCTACTTCATTGCCCTTTCCTGTAGAAATTCATTCTTGCCTAGTATCGTGTCCTCCAGTTGCAGACTTGTTTTTTCTAGAATGAAATTTAGAAAAGTAAAAGATACCCCATGAACATTCCACCAAGAATAATCCCTGCAGTCACATTCTGGGAAATTACTTCTAAAAGTAATTTTAGAGGACAGAGGTTGTATGAGCTTGATTGTATTATTTTCAATGTCATAGAAATACGAGATTTATTAAATCAAGTCATCACCCCCACACCCCCCTAAACCAAACCCTTGGCACAAAAGAGATGGTAATATTACAAGGGAAGCATGCAGGCAGCAAAAGCAAATCAGTGCTGAATGCTTTTGGAAAGACACGTCAACTATATTGCTGCCATCCTGGAAGTTCTTTTGAATGCCTTAGGTTTCATCAGGACAGCATCAACCAGTATCCAGTGTAAGTACCAGCCTTAAATGGCTCTATTAACTATAGAATTATTTCACTTTAAGAAAGAGCTAATAGCTATATTAACTGTATGCTTTCAGGGCTCCTTGACAGAATGGCTGTAGTCAACAGCAACATCTTGATTATTGCAGGGCAAATCAGAAAGTAGTAAATTTCATCATGTGCTCCACTCACTCCTTCTGGAATGGAAAAAAAATACAGGCTCAGAATTGCATCTTTGAGTAAGGATGAGACAGAGCGACCTGCCCTTTTCTGCTTCTGCTTAGATTCAGCAGGCATTGCTACAGATTTAACTTAAAACTTTACTCTTATAAGACACAAGATATCCAAAACCACTGGGGCAGAAAATGCAGAGAACCTCCTGCTAGCATCCAGCTCTGTTTTTAAAACTTGACTGCCTTATAATATCATACCATCAACATGCCACGTCTAGCCTACAGTTTTAACACAATGTAATTAGAGTAGGTTGGCAAGGACGTTCAAAGAAACAGAAATTTATATGTTAAATAGGTTAAAGCCCAAGAGCCAAAAATACTGTTTGGTAGACAGGAATGCAGTCAAATCATGTGAGAATATGGCTGAGAATCTGGCATATGGCCTATTTTCCTATCACCACGCACTATTTCTCTCACAAGGCTTTCCTTTTAATATTAATTGGAGTACTACTTGTAAATATTTACATGGCTCAGATCTGTGTTGCAGACAAAGTGCCTGCAGGATGACATCAATTAATAGCACCTTTCCTGGGAGACGCTTCCTGTGTGCAAAGGTAGGGCATGATGAAAAATGTTAGTTGTGGCCAAGGTCAAATAATAGGACTGGTTAAAATGGAGCTACACATTAAACCAATAAAACAGACCCAATCTCCCAAGGAGGCCTGTGGTTTGTCTGAGCTTCTGGGCAGCTCTAGGAATTTTACTCTTGTAAAATGACAGACCAATAGTAAATTGAAATTTTTCTCACAGTTACAAGCTCAGCACCAACAAGAAGCATCTGGAATCAGGTTTCTATGTCGTGTAAAACCGGCTCTGTCTGTCTTTTGCTGCTGCTTCGTTTTGTTTGTAGCCTGAGCAAAAGCACTGTCCCTGTCAGCATTACTCTTTCTTCTATTATTGGAGTTTCAGATTTAATGTTGATCTGTTCAGTGACCTCCTTTCTCTTCAGACAGAAGACTTTTTGAACTGTAGTTTAATCCATACTCTGGAGTAGAATATTAAATGGTAATTATTTTAGAAAGGCAAAACATGCATTTTAGTCACTCAGAGACTGAGGAACTTTTAGGTAAAACAAGCCTCAACATCTTGTAGTAAACCATAATAATGTCATCAAATCACACTGCTGTGCTTGTTTGTCCTCAGCTATTGCATGCAGATCCAGTCCTAAAAGCCCTGTTTGCTGCTTGCACTACTGCGTGCTGCATTCAGAACATAACTGACTGCTGATCGGCAGATCTGAAAACATTCACACTTTGGGGTAATTCACCTGTCTTGTCAATGGAAATGAAACACATCCCTGATTCAACCACAGAAACATTTTATTTAGGAATATATACTGAGATCCAGACTTGAGACAAAAATCCAGTTCTGTTACACAGTGCACTGAAAATCCTTTGTAAGGGCTTAGGAAGAATGTTTAAGATACAATATTGTGTATTGCACATGTATATTTTCAAAAAATACTGAAATTACTGAATAATTTCACTTGGTTTTTAAAAGATAAAAACATTTGTAGTCTAGGCACTTCTGACCATAGAGCATTCCAAAATGTTCCTTTTCAGGATTTCCCATACCTTCCATTAAAGAAAATCCTTCTCTGGAATATATCAAGATGACAAAAACAAAACCCCACTCTTTCAAGTCACTGAGTTAATGCATGTTCTCAGCCTCTTGCAAGTGTGAAACTACTGCATTTTAGCCTGTCTTCATTATGGTCTCAACCATTTCTTTAACAAAATGGTAGGAATGGGCCAGAAGAACACCATGAATCACAGAACAAACCACTGGTAGAAACCACTGTTTTCACCCTTTGTGCTTCCACCCTATTTATATTTTCTCCCTTCCTTCTTTGCTCTGGATTAAATTGATTCTGTAACGTACTTCTAGGTACAGGGTGGCACAGAGAACCACAGCAGGCCTTTGGTTAGAAATGGAGGTTTCTGGGGTTTGCAGGATTTGTAAACCTACCAAGAGGCACTGCACAGTGTAATATCAAACATATATGTAATATCACATATGCATTTAAAAATATCACCATTCCAAATCCTGGTTCATGTTCTACAGAATGAATGCGAATGGCTAATATTAGATAGTCGACTTGCATATAAAATCCTGCAAATATTTTGTAACTCTTTATGGATGTCTCTGTAAAACCTACAGGAAGGTAACTTCACGGCCGGATGCACACAGCTGACTCATCTTCTTTATCTCTTTGTCCAGTTGCAGTCACAAGGGAAAATACAATTGTTCTTATCAGGGTAACATTCTGACAAGTTTCCTCTGAAGCTAAGAAAAGTATTTTATTGTATGTCAGATGTGTCTGTAGAGCCTCCTCTTGCATTAGGAGTACAGTATCACAGGACGACGACCAGCAGAAACAGGAGGATACTTGGTCTCCTTTGAATTCTAACTTTAAACTGTCATACACTCCTTGACTCCATCCAGTGGAAGCACAGAAGAAAAATATTTTAGTAGAAAGAAATGTACAGTGACCTAAGGAACAGTGGGAAGCAGGAAGGACATACTGACAATTCTCTGGGACTCTGACAGGGTCTTGGGTATAGATTTCATACAATTGTTGCATCGCCTCATGAAGCCTGACCCGTAGCTCCAGCTCAACCAGGCCACAGGGCCACTTATGTTTTGGCAAGTAGCACATAAGAGTTTTCATGTTAGTTACCAAAATAGAAGTGCCTACTTCATATGACTGTAAATACATAAGCTCTGTAGTTTCAATTGACAGCACACAATGTTACATGATTCGAGAACTTTTTTTTTAACCGCTTTCCAGGTTCTTGCCATCCTTCACTTAGAAAGACAAATCATACCATTTCAGATTTATACCTCCAGGACAACTGCAGTAATATGCTTCCCCAAAGCTTCACAGAGCCACATTAAGTGTTTGTTTTCTTGGTAAAGCATTTTTTCGTTCTCTCTAGGTACTTTGTACTAAGTATTTCTTACACAATAGCAAATTGTTACCTCCAAACCCACACTGGTCAATTTGGTATAAGCTTCTCTTCAGCCTAGAGTGCAGCATGCTGTGCTTCTGAAGTGATCACCTTTTTATATTTCCTTGTTGCTCTTCGGAGAGCAGGATGTTGCAAAGATGTGCTTTGTTGCATGTTTCCCAAAGGACATCACAGGCTTTGTGCAATGCCCAGGCAACCACTAGGCATAGCTAAACAGAGGGGGTTTGATTACAATTTATTTTTTTTTTAAACAAGGGAGAAACAGTTCAAACAAAATGTGGAACCATTCCCATCTGTATACTTCCCTTAAGCTTAGACAAAAAAAGGTTTATCTAAAAACTTACATTCACTGTATATCCTGAACATAAATGGGAAAATGTGGTTTTAAAATGAAAAGAAGACTAAATTAGTAACTCTTAAAAAGTTACTAATCTGTTCTCTAGCTGAAAATTCATCAAATTTAAGGAGACTGATCATCATTGGCAGTTTCCTCTTCACGAGTCACCATTCCTTTCTTAATGTTTTCATTGCGTTGCTTCCAGTCTCTGTCACTTGGTGAATGCGCCTACTACCAACATCACTCCCTCATAGTTCTAACTCTTGTGCTTGTTAACAATTTTGCAGACTACAATCCTCAGAAAGAAAACCTCAGCAGTGAGTTATATCCTGAAAACACGGACATGAAGACCAATTTAAAAACACAAAAAAACAAAGTAAAAGGGGGAAAAAAGGAGCTACCATAATACAGCCCTGTGAACATGCTGTGCATCTCCTCAATGTCTTTGGCTTCTCTTCATAAGCAGGAGCCTTGCTTCAGCAAAAGACTGCAAGTTCCTGAATGCAGAGTTACTTAATGCATAAATGTTATGTGGGTATTGAGTCAATTGTTTAGTTAAAATATTCTTGAATCCATATCTATGAAGTACAGATATTCAACAGCTCAGTGTCAAGTCCTTCATGTTTAGAAAATTCAGTCTCACACTTTGCAATTTCATGAAATTTTAATATATGAAAATAGTACTGTTTATTTGTCAAAGTTTGAAAAAAAATAAACTGCATTCACTATCAGTTTTCTTTACAAGTGAAGCAACAAAGACAATGATAACTTATATAATTTTTTTATAACAAAGAGAAATGGATCAGCATTTTTAAGTTAATTCTGTGTTTTGCAAGTTTTGGCAATAAAGTTTGATTTCCATCCTATTTTTTCTTTTACAGCAGTGATAAATAAAGCTTTTTCATATATCATAGCAGGCTTGTCCTTCACAAAAGATCCACTTTCCAATTCACAGAAGAGTGAGGTTTATATCCAGCCACACATAACTAAGCAAAACTTAACTGAAGTCCATTTAGGACATTCAGTTCCCACAGAACAGTGACATAAATGATTAACTTCCACAGACGTACGGAATGCTGTAAGTTATTCTGAGGCAAAAGACCTGTAATGTACAGAAGTCATGACCATAACTTCATCTGTACAAAGGCCTTCTCCTTCTCCAAAATAAAGACAGATATTTCATACTTTCCCAAGTCTTTTCTTAATGAAATATCCCACTAACTTCTGCGGCCTCTGCTGATACTCCACAAGGACATCATGTGAGCTGCTGATCTGATCGCCTTCGAGCCGATTCAGAAGAGTGACACACACTACAGCAGCTAGAAATTAAAAGACAGCATTAGTTAGGTATGACATTCTGGCACTTGTACAGTCCAAAAGTATAAACATTTGAACAAACAGCTAGAAGAACAGAAATATGAGAGAAAACAACCCCCCAAAAAAGGGTGTGCATTACCAGAAGATGCTAGGGGAGCAGCATGCTGTGGATGATGTAAGTTACAAACAGTTTAAGAGAACTGGTTGCTACCTTAATAAAGCAGCTGCAAATACTTATTGTTGTATCATGATTCTTGTGTTTTTCTGGATAAGAAGTGTATTTCACAAGTACCCAGGACCCCACTGGTAGGAAGTGACCAGACACACTGTTCTAGGCCCTCCACTGTCTACCCTACCCCCAGCCCAAGTGCCCATGCTGTAGCTGCCATCCCTCAGGAAGCAGCAGATGAGCCACCTCCACATTCATCAACAGAGAGCACTGCAAGCACAAGAGGACCACCTGGATCATCTCAGGCTCATCTGCCTTTTGGTAATCAGAGCCCCAAAGGCCAAATCCCTCCTTTCACTCAAACTGAGCTCTATCACTCCACCCTATCACTCTGCTCTGTCTGGGGTTTCTGTCAGTGGCAATTTGCAGAGCACAAACAGTAAATACACATTACAGACCTACAAAGCAGAGACAGCAAAAAGGACCAGGTTCTCTAGGCTCACGAATAGCATTGGTTGGGTTTTTAATCACATCCAAATCAGTAAGAACTGAGGATGTTTGATATAACTGTTGGCGTTTGTACTTATATTTCTTCATTTTCACCTTCCTTGAGTTTAAGGAAATTTGACAAACAGTGTTTTAAATTGGCAAATTCCTTGCTAAGGAAAGTAGGAGACAACAGTTAATACCGTAAGAAGAAAGGCACAGCATTACATTGTTTGTAATTGCTTGCTTTTTTCCTCATCTTTACTGAAAATTAGTTAGCTTGTGTAAAAAAATTGAAAACTTGTTTTATGATTTGAAATGGCTTATTTATCATGCTACTAAAAATCTTCAACTGTTTAAGAATCAGAGCCTTAAGTCTACACTAAATACTTATATTTTCAATTTGATATGAAAGTATAGAGAGTATAATATTATATATAGATGGGAATCATATGATTGCTTAAACTAACCACTTGCTTTCTATAAACTTCAAAACCTAAGTGAAGAAAACAAATGAATGCTACAGGATAATTAGGTACTCATGATTCACACGGTTGCCATGGGCTGGAATAGCACATGACAGAAGTGATCTGTGTAAGAACTATGTGAGGAAGTTTGATTAGTTGTGAGTACATCTGACACAAATCAAACAATCACAGCAACAAAATTATAAGCAGAACTGGGGGGTTTTTTTATATGCAGAAGGTATATCAACACTTCAGTCCCAGTTTTTTACCATAAACCCCCTGCAACGCAGAAAACTTCCCACAGCTTGGAAGTGACTAAGTTAGTTTACCTTTGACACCGCTGAGACTACACATTGCAGCAAATACAGAAGACTCCATCTCAATATTTCTGACACCCGAATCATAAGCTTTCTTCAAATATTGCAGTTTTTCTTCTTCATCATATAAACAGATCGCACCATCCAACCTGCCCTGTCCTTTAAAGTAATTTTGTGGAAAATTTCAGTGATGAAGTCACAGAGCAAATTCAGTTTATAAAACACCCAGTTATTACAGTTTTCCTCTTTATAGTGTTCCGTTTTTACTATTACTCTTTCTTTTTGTGCACAACACAAATAGGAAAAAGTGATTCTTAGATATTGCTGGAGCTTCTACATATTACTTGTGTTTTTTTATAACATGAATCATGGAAATTTAACTGGTCTTCTCCAGCTGAAATTCTCAAATTCATAAATGCGAAGATGTAAGTAGTATATTTCCATATATCAAATATGTATACATTTCCAGTATACATTTCCATAAATAGCAAATATTAAAATTCAGCAACAAACTTTGAACTCTATGAAGTGCTGCATTCTTAATACGTTTAATCAGTTTCTAAAAAAACTGCCAGGCTCGAAAATGCTTTCCTGTTGCTACCTTAAAAAGATTAACACTTTATTACTTACAGACTCACTCTCTCAGGTAAGAGATGAAGAGCCTCTTAGACTAACTAGCTAATAGCACTATAATTTTTTGAGAAAATGTTTATTCAAATTATTCAAGAATAACACCTACAGGTAAAACAGCCACAGGTTATGTACAGTAAAGTTAAATTATACTGTGTTTTACTCAGCACCTTCTTGATTTTGGGAGATGTACCCCTAAATTAAGGCCCTTGGGTCTGTTCTCAACTTTTACCGTATGAGTTGAAAACATTCCTGACAGCTTTTATAAGGTGTTGCTTGCACCTGTGGTTGGTTCTTGGGGAGATACACAAACTGACAGTGTGTGCTTCTGCCCAAGCTGGAGCACTATGATGAAGACCACCTGCATTGCACCCTTTGTCACCTACTCAGCAACAGCCAGAGAAAGTGGGATCAGGTGCCATCTACACTGTGTTCTCGCAGGATTTGAAAGATGTTTCTGAATAGACTTGGGAGATCAGAAAAGCACCTGAATGTCTGTATGTTTACCCAAAGTAAGCCTTGAAGGTTTGTGTCTCCTATGTAGCAGCACTGACACAACTCTGCAAAACACTGCCTTCCATTGTCTGATGCTGCTTTGCTTGAAATGCACACGGGAAACAAGTTTCAACACTTCTTTGAGAAAATATTTGCTTTAGGTACTTAACTAGTGCAAAGAAAACCAACCCCAAACCAGTCACAAATTATTTCCACTCTTCTAACCCCCTGGGATGCCTCAGTAAATCACAGAAATTTTGTAACAAATGTACCTGACAAGTGCATAAGAAGTGTATCGTAGACTATATGTACTTCAGAAGATCTATTAAAGCTGGGTGGAAATAAAGCTCCGCAAGAAAGTTTAATACAGCAAATTAATAAGTACAATGCTTCACTTCATGTAGATGAAAAATAGGTTAATTATGGTTGGCGAGACAACCCAAAGTAGGGAATGTGTTTTGTTCAGTAAACTGGAAGCCTAATGTTAAAATATTATTCAATATTTATCTACTGCTGCTTTACCAATACTCTTCTGTTAAGTGTGTGACCATACTCACCTTCATAGAAATCCAAAGTGCACATGGTGTTTCCAATGACTGTATTGAACTGACCGATTTCTTTACTGCACTGCATCAGTTCCTTAGCCAGCTGTTCATCTAGGTTAGTACTGCGAATTACTGTCTTTCCCAGAACAACCTGTTCCAGCTGAGGTTTGAAGGTGGCATCTACAGACTGCTTAGTTATAACGACTGAGCCTGGCTCCAGACCTGCAGTAAAAAGAAATAGATAAAGCTTCACAATGCAGTAAATGCTTCATTTCCACACAAGTGAAACTTACACCTCGATCCAATCCTGCCTCTTTTAAAGGTGGTGATTTTGCCCCTAAATTCATGAAGATAATTTTTTTTTTTGCATGTCTAGCTGCTTCCGCTTATTATCATAAATAATTTCTGAAAGAACAAAATTTCTCCTTTGTCACTATGTGTTCTTTCTTATCTCATACTTTTCATAAAGGACAGAAATGTCCTTCCTGGTCACACTGTCAGATAACTCTTAAGTGCATTTTCTCTATCTAAAGGCAGATGTTGCCTTTACTTTCAAAATTACAGAAGAAAAATGATTCATCTCCTGTGGAAAATTGTTCTGACCATCAATCGCTTACATACAGAGAGATGTTTTACTTTCCTACAAAGATACGTTGGTTTGCAGAAAGAAAGAAATCAAGAGAGAAATACCTATTCCTCCAGAGGTGCCGATACGAATGATGGTTATGTTGGAACACTTGGCATGATACAACAGCTTGATCAGCTCATGCAACATGATTGAAATAGAAGGAATGCCCATGCCATGCTGAAAAGAAAGCAGAAATTCATACTCCACATTCACATAGATAATGCAATATGTATATGGAAAAAGGAGCTGGACATTATCTCCTTACTTGTATTTTTTTTCCAAATGCACCTAACTCACTTGTACAAAACCCCCAACCTCTGGGCCCACTGAAAGGCTACTGCAGGTAAACAGACAGACTCTGACTGGCTTTGGTAGACTGTGGATGAAATACCCCACTCTGATTTTACACCAGCCTGAAGTGCCAGTGAATAGTTAAGCTAAATGTTTTCAAAACACAGACGTTGTGGTTTAGTCTCAACATGCAGCAAATACAAGTCCACCTTAACTTGCACAATATTATTATAATTACAGCTCAAAAGAAAGCATGCAAAATAATATTGCAGTTTTGCAATTGCAATTGAAGTATGTAATTGTATCTACAAATTAAAGGCATGAAGCTTTAAAAAGCGTACATGAGTTGGCAGCACCAGTCCCATGGAATGCTACTCTTAAGCTATACTAGCACATTTGACCGTACCATTGCAGATACTTAGCTTTGGGTGTGATACAGCCATTTTTTCCAATACCTCACATGCATCAAGTGACCTTTTCTCCCCAATATTCGGGGTTGAGGCAACAGTAAGTCTGCTCAAAAAAATCTATAAGGTCATTCCTGAAACACCTCAGTGCTATGCTGAGGAAAAGGTACGCAAAAGCGAATGAAGGTCTTGGAGATTTTTCCTCTTACAAGAAAGGGCCAAAAAGGAGTTCTTAGTTACCTGACTGCAATATTTGGAGCATGGCTGACACAAACTTAACAGCCTGACTTGGTTTATAAAGTGTTTAGAAGAAACATACATTCACATTTTCTTTACTTTGAACAGCACCACTGAACTGTGTCCCATACCAGATTATGTGAGGTACTTACACTGACAGACAGAACAGGTCCCACTTTGTACATTGCATAACGGTCAGTGCCTGCACAGATGTTGGGGTAGTCACAATTAGAGCTCCCAAGCCCCAGCTCCTCAGCTATGTAGGCAGTAAAAGCTTTCATCCGTGAAGGACTTCCTCCAACACACACAAACTGGGACAGACAATATTCAACAAAACAAATCAATTGCATGATTCAGTATATCAAAGAACGTGTGAAGAATGACATGAGTACGCAAACACCTTCAGTTAACACAAAGCTATTTCCAGATACAGTTCTTCTCATAATTATTATAAAAGGCCATGAAGAAAAATTATGGAAAAAAACCCACCGTCTATAGCACTCAAATGCCTTCATCCCATTTAAACAAGTAAAAACAGATGTTGGCATGAAGACCAAACAAACAGGAGTTCTACCTGAAAAGAGCCTACAGGATTTGCTTTTCTACTGGATGAAGAGACAGTCAGAAACAATTATCCCCAACTTTATTGGATATTGGAAGTGACAAGAACCCACAAAATCTTGTCCTCTTTGCATTCTCTCCTCAGTCAGTGGTATGCAGACACATTTCATAAAATCACATAATATTAAGAGGTTGGAATGGACCTTAAAGGTCATGTAGTCCCACTCTCCCCTGCCATGGGCAGGGACACCTCCCACTAGACCAGGTTGCTCAAGGCTTTATCCAACCTGGTTTTGAACACTGCCAGGGTTGTGACACCCATAACCATCCTGAACAACCTGTTCCAGTGTCTTGTCACCCTCACATTAAAAAATGTCTTCCGAATATCTAATCTAAATTTAGTCTTATTGAAGACAGCTTAGCTTATTTAAAGACAGCTACACTTCCACCTTCTGCAGAAAAGCTCAGGCTTGCTGAACAAAGCAAAGTATCTTACCTTTACATCCCCAAACAATGCTGGAAAATCATGGGTACCAGTCCCAAGAGCAAAATGGTACAGGATGTCTTCTTTCATTTTTTCCAGGTGAGGGTTGCAGAGCTGGATAAAATTCTCTCTGTGGAGACAGCAGCATTGTGAAACATCTAGAGTATACACAAACTCCTACACTAAACAGATGCCAATTTTTCAGTCAGGCATTCAGCATTGGGAAATGCCACACTTATGTATTCCTGCACTACCTTATTTTGCTTCCTCGTGCATTGCATTAAGGAAATCCTAAATTTCGTAACAACCTTTTGTCTCATAATAAATCATGTATGGCACTTAACATTCTATTCACTGCACAGGATGAAAGTGCTGAAGAAAAGCCCAGATTTTAGGATGTATTTTCAACAGTGCAACCCTTATCTTAAACAATATTAAAGCTGTGAACCAGGGCAGATCTTTTTGGTGTGCAGAACAGTGCGAGCAGGACCGAAGAATATTCAATAGACCACCTTACTATAAAGACAAACTATAGAAAAGATGAAAAACAAACTCGACATCTGTTTTGGCTGAAACTCCCTGCCGTGAGCCACCTGAGAAGAATGGGATTATTTGGGCTTTACAGACAGGCACAAAGTGGATTTCTGGCAATTTGGCTCACTGTGTCATACAGGCAGGAGTTAAAAACCCTGCAGCATGAGACTGATAACAAGGGTACAGAGGATCTGAAATAGGAGAGAAAAGAGAAAAATGAAAATCTGAAGGAAGAGAAAACCATGAAAGAGAAAAAAATGCAAGATAAAGGGAAAAGAAAAGGAAATTATACAATTTAAAAGGAAAACAAAAATTAATCTGAAGAGCCAGGAAGCAACAGGGCAGGGATGGAAACCTGAACTACCTGGCATGTGGGATCACCTTCATGGAAAATTTGATAATGGACTAACTAAACCAGCTGAACAATTCATAAAACATCTGCCTTCTGTGCTTGATGTTTTAAGTTCAATTGAAACAAGTAGGAAAGACTAGTCAATAATCGCAAGCTTAAGTAGAACACTGGCCAGTACTTCAAGTAATTTCTGAGAGATGAAATCAAACAGCAAATAGCTTCCAGACACAAGAAGATGACTTAATAGCTTAATGGAGGCTCACTGCAGGCACAGCACGGCTTAACAAATTCAAACTGCTTTGTCAGAGGAGAAGAACAAGAGAGTTAGCCTGGAGTTTATGCAATAAATTGTTAAGACTTTGAAGAAACAACTCTGAAGCCTAAACAGAAGCATTTAGTGCTATTTTGGATGATTGAGGTTATCACGTCTGCCTTCTAATGCCTCTCCAGAAAGGCAGAGCTTTCCTGTATGTCCTACATCTTATCTGCTGGTCCTGTGCAGGATGTATGTACCTTAGGAAGCCTACAGTGACAAGATGCCCATGCTGAGGTCACTGAACTGTTCCTCAGAAAGCACATAGTTACAACCCAAATATTCTGAGTACAGCAATTGCATCTGTTCGTTCTCTTTCCAACATCACTATCCATAACAGCTGCACAACCAAGGAAAGAGGTGTCATCCCAATCCACCCTATCTGACCCTGCCCACCACAGACAACCACCTTCAGCAACTGAAGGAGCTGCCCACCCAGGCAGCTCGTCCATTCTCCTTTTCAGTAGGAATTCCCTTCCATCTCCCATGGGCCCCATTTGCCTCTCTTCATAAAATCCTGCCTGAGGTGGAACCAAAAGTTTGGCTGCCTTTGTTCTTACTTCCAAGAGACCTGTTTGACTCCAGGAGAACTAAAGCCAGAATTTCCAGGCTGCCTGCCCTGAATCATTCCTGTTTGGTTTTGTGGGACTCCCTCCCCCTGTTTACTGGGTCATTCATTAATGCAGACCCAATATCCGGCTGTGCTGATGTTCGTTGGAATGACTTTTACATACAAATAGGATATGATTTGAAATCACTTTACAATTTGTTCTCAGGCGAGCAAAAAAGGTATTTCCTTCTTTATGAGAACACCAGCAATAAAACCGTCTCTCCAGGAAATAAATTGGGAAAAGGCGAGGCCTCTGTTAAAAGTACAGGGAAATTCACGTGGTATGTGCTAACACCACTGTCCTCATGCCTGGCCAAAATACACCTTCCTTCCTCAGCAGTAGCTGTATTCCACCTTTCTCATCTCATACCCCACCAGTAAGACTCTCCGACCCACCGTCTCACCACGGTGAGGGGCTGTTACCGACTTGCACAGCTTATCTGCACATCTAATTGTAGACTTGGACCCTGGGGTAAAATGGGCAATAAAAACAAGCATATTGCTATGTGTACATAGGACCAATGCCATGGATTTACAGTACAGGCAAAGTTTGCTCGATAAAAATCTTTGGCAGGAGCAGAAAATTTATTTCCCTCAAGCTGTTCTAAAGCACCTACAACTTCTGACGGTTTAAGTAAAGTAAAGTATCTGAAGACTAAACCCCCATGTATGGGTCTAGTAAAATAAGCTTAAAGCAAGGATTAGAGAAACACATTGAAATATTTGTTTGAATTCTTGAAGCAGGTAGGTCTAGCCATATGCAGCAACCAAAGCCAACATTTCAAGTTCACTGGATTTAAATAAATAAATAAATAAATAGGACACATCACCCAGGCTTGGAAAAATTCACTGTTGAGATATAGAAAAATGATTAGCCAGCAATGTCCTCTGTGAAGGTGTGGTAAAGCAATAAAGAATCCATTTGTCAAAACAGCTCCTATTGGACACTTGATGTTACAATCAGTATTTGTATCATAAAATCTTATCTTAAACTAAATGAATGTGCAATGAGTTTGGGGAGGAAGGTTAAGTGTAAACTTGGATAAAATAATTGATTTCTGAATCTTACTTTGAAGCCTGTTCATTATCAGTCTTCTTCTCATTTGAGGAACCGGGAGCCATGTATGCTTACACCTAGAACTGTATTTTTAAAAAAAAAAAGTTATAAATGCATCACAATAGTCCCATCTGTAAAGCCAGCAGCATTACAAGTGAGAAACCATCTGTATTAATGATAACCATCATGAATATTAAATACCCCAAATAATCCAGCCACACTACAGCTTTTGTAACTGTAGCAAAATAAGCATCTACAATTTGTACAGCTGAGCATCACCACTTTCAAACCCCTAAAGTCTAAACTAATCCCTTGCTAATGTAACCCTCACCACAGAACAGAGGTAGTAGTGAGGTATGAGCAGCAGCAGGCTCACAGACCGAAGCAAGTCTCATTGCCAACTAACTCACCCTC